CCCCAAAACCCCAAAACCCCAAAACCCCTTTTAAGAAAGCTAAGATTGGAATGATCGAAATTATAATATTTAAAGACACTAGTAAAAGTCTTTCAAATAAGAAGACATTAAAGCAACTATTCAGAACAAGAAAGAACTTGTCAAGGATGTAAACACCCTTAACTTACTTTCAGAGACATTCAGACGTGGTATCGTCCAAGATAGCCCCAGGAAGTATACCAAGTACACCAAAATTTTTAAAAAGAGTCAAAACTCAGGTTATTCCCGCCAAGACAATGCTAGATTTTATACCAACTTTGGGTTAAGAAATAGAGTCCTCTCTGAAGAGAATGCTATGTCAAAAGCACAGTTTGAGCCTAAAATTCAAGGACATCTTACAGCCAAAACATATAAAAATTCATGGCTTAAAGAAACTTCTCTTTTGAGTTCAGAAGCAAACTTTATTTCCCCAAAAATGACAAAGGAATCTCAAGCTTTTAAGTCAATAAAGGGAGCCCCTTCTTTGGCAAAGAATTCTCATCATGGAGAAAGCATCTGAATGAACAATGAGGTTTTAGAGAATTGCATCTGTGGGCTCTCTAATGATGATAGCCTCCTTGCGAACTCTCTACTTAGGAAAACAACATTGAGTTTACAAAGGAACTTATGAATTTCGATTTCAAAATCGTTGAAAGGAGCACCAAGATAGCTAGGAGAAAATACTTCAAGTTTGTTTGTAAATTTCAAGGAACTTGTAACATAAAGTACAGACGGAGCTGAAGCTTCCTTGAACATTGAAGATCCCACTACGGTATCAAGCCTTACCAATGTGAAGAGTGTGGGCACGGGTTCGCTCAGAATAGAAATCTCGTTAAACACAGGAATATCCATAAAAGTATACCGTTATTAGTCAGGTGATAATACCTGAACCTTGCTGAAACCTCCTAAATGGGATATCAAAATATATTTCGACTGTTTGATGAGAATGATAATAAGGTAGCTAAATAGAAAGGAGATCAAACCCACTTCACAAATTCAGGAACGAGTAGACAAGAAAGAAAATAAAGATTTTACGAAATATAAACTTCTTAAGTAATTTTTCATGATGGACAGACCATTTGCTCAGGAGTATTAAGTTTATCAGCTGTGTTACATTGTTCCAATACTAAAGAAGGTTTGACTGATTTGAGTATGTTAAAATTGTTTTAATACTTTTATAATCTCCTCTTATTGTCAGAATTTGCTCAAAACACTTATGAAGATTATTAATTTAAAGTTTAGATGCTTTCTCTTATATTATTACAAAAATCTCGACAAAAAAGAAGCCACCAATATCTTCATGCTAATTCATAATCCAGTAATAGAAATTAAACTCTCACTTAAAATGATCTATTTAACTATCAAAGTTCCTTATTTTATCCAAGTCCCCTCATCTCTATTAACTCCAAATAAAACCCTATATAAATTAAAATTTATGAAGCTTCTTCAAAACATTTACTTTCAACACCAAATCTACACCCTGGGGTTTTGGGGTTTTGGGGTTTTGGGGTTTTGGGG